CATTGAATTTCACATAATCTTGCTTTCCCAAAAGTTGTTCTTATCCAGATTGGACTGCAGTTTCGACTTCGAATGGGTCTTATCAACAGTCCCAGTGGGAGTCGAACCGTGACAGTGCATAAATTGAGCTTGACACGTTAACCGTTCGGTCACATTTCCACGGGTGCCCTTGGGTAACAGGGCAGGTGTGAGTTTCAAGGAACGCCAGGCCTTTTCCCATATAATATTATTTGGTGGGATTGTCGATGCAGCAAACGTATTTTTGCTATAACAATCGACTAGATTACTTATTTATCATTTCGTTTTGGAGCTTTTGTTTCTCAAGGTAAGGGATAAGTTGCGATCGCTTTTGTGTTGGAGAAAAATATTGCCCGTTCAAGAAAGGGTGGTTGAGCCCAATTTCACCTGTAAAGACTCTTGAGCTAAACGACCAGGGATAGCGGAACATGTGACAGATTTTAATGGCAAATACAAGTTTGCTTCATCGTCAATCCCACTTTAATGCCTAGCTTTCCTTGAGAGTCATATCTATCTGGCGGCCCACCGCCACACATGGCAGTATGGGCTAGAGGTATTATTGCTAAAATTTGAAGTTTTGATGAGATCGAGACGAGGTTAAAACTGCATTTTATTATAGATAAGAATGCTTTTTGAGCGACCGGACTATATAAATTTCAAATGCATCTGGAGGTTGACTCACTGTAGGAATATTTATTGTGGGAAACTTCTCTATCACTCTTTCATTGCCTAAAACGAGCTAGGTTGACTACGATTCTGCAGGTTATTGGAAAATTAAGGAGGCCGTCAAAATCATCAGTTTAGGCAGTAAATTAAATGCCAGGTATACCGGAAAGAAGGCATTTAAAGGTTAATTATTCTTAATTGATGATACATATACCTGCATATTCACAACTAATCAGACGCTTGACTAACATTTCGCAATCTGACTAGTGGCCAATATCATTACAACTTGATGACATGTTCTAATTATTTGGAGCTACAATTGTTGATTTCATACCTTTACGTACACTTTAATGCACGTACTCACACGCCAGCAGACACACACACTTACACATTTTATTCTAGATCTAAATGACATAGACTAACCAGATCGCACTATATATCTCAAAAATGCATAAGTTTAGAGAATATATATAGGAGCTTTTTTTCCTATTTTAGAAGATTATTTAACCAATGAGTTTCCACTAATAACGATTAATTGCGACGAATTATTCATTTCCTCACATTTTCGCATAATTTCCCTTGAATTATCACTATTTTTACCCGATTTTTTATTTCTTTCCGGGTTTTTTTCATCCAAGGCATTTTTTAGCTAAACTTATTCATCCCACTTTCTTAGCTTGAATTAAAGACATCTTATTGTTCCTAATTCGCGCTATTTCTTTCTTTATTTCTACTAACTTTCTTAATTGCTTTTTTCTCAGTTAACCACTAATTCAATTTTCTATCCTTCTCGCTCGTCTTGCCTTCCTCACCTAACTCATTCCTAGATGTGCATAAACATGCATAGATGCATTTATATCTATACATGCGCTCATTTACTCACTTCAACTCACATTTGTTCGAAAACATGCATGCATGTTTCATCCTCCCATTTCATCTTCCCCTCAACCCTATTCTGCCAACTAGAAATCAACGGCGAGCCCTGACATCTTGGAGACTTTTCGCCCTTCAGTAGATCAACTTGGGCCTTCTTCTTTTCTGGGCTATTCAGTTTCGGCACCGCGGGCCCCGCCTCAACAGCAACACTCTTACTCCGAGTACTTAATTCGTCAGCGCCAACATTACAGCTGTCAGCCTCCCGAAAGAAAAGAGCACAATTTCGAGCTGGCAACGCAGCAAACCAATCCGCGTTTCTCTACGTTTGCTCCGTCTTCACTTTCACGAGATCCAATCCTCTACAATTCCCAAATCCCACCTACATCCCACACACCTCAAAAGACGCTGTTCCAGAGCCTCCAACCGGTGCACAAAGGCGAACATGTGCCTCTTGGTGATTGGCTTATTGCAGGTGGATGGCCAGAGTCTGGCTCAAACTCAGCCTCTGCCTCCTTGTCATGGTCATCGGCGCGGTCGGATGTCTACGCTGTCACAGAGCCCTCTGCGTGTCTTACTGGACCGATCTGGCCCGAAGCGGATGATACGTATCCAATAACTCCTCCACGGCCCTCGAAGAATGAACCGCAGAGTTTAGGAGGCCTATCAGAATGTGGGTTTGAGGAAGCTCTTCACTTCAAGTTTGGAGTTTTTATTTAACCTTTATGCTTTCATCTTGGACAGAAGGAGTTTTCACCGAGTAAAGAAAACTCGTAGTCAGGGGCCTACTTTCGAGAAAAATGTCTAAAATATTTGTCTTTTGCAGAGTTTTATTCACACGCTAGTTCGTCTCACCCTTTATTTAACTGTTTAAGGGCTGCCAAGATTCGTCATAGGACGTAAAATACTTAACTTTTCGAATTATCCTCTGAACTGGTTGTTTTTAGGCTTTTTAAGCAATTAGGCAACGCATATTCCTTAGCCTGACCTTCTGTTTTTTTACTATTACCGGTGCCTAT